TCCCCCATCCTGGTGCCTCCAGGGCTGCCTGTTGTCGAGGGGGTTTCCCTGGACCTAGAGGATGAGGAAGAGGAGGAGGAAGACTTCCTGGACAAGATCAACCCCATCTATGACGCCCTGTCTTACTCCAGCCCCTCTGATTCCTATCAGGGCAAAGGCTTTGTCATGTCCCGGGCCATGTATGTGTGAGCAACCGTGCCCTGGCCTCTGCCTCTCACTTTCTGATCCCTCAACTTTCTGCTGGGGATCTAGTGTCCCCGACCTCTGGCCAGGCCACTGTCAGTTCTGACTTCTACCGTGATGGCTCCACTCTGACCTCTAACCCATGATCTCTGACCCAGAGACACAGGCCGTGACAGTGGAAACCTGGTATCTCATGAGTGTGAGTGTATGGGGGTGATGTGTGTCTATACAACCTCTGACCCGAAGACTGTGTCGTGACTTTAGTTTATATTCTCATGTCCCACCATCTACAGTCTCCCCCCAAATTTCAGAGAAGACCCCAGACCTCTGGTTTGTCCTCAGGCAGTAAACTCCCAATAGCTCTACTGGGTTGGGCTTTGGGGTGGCACTCTGCTGCTCAGACCTGAGCCCTCCAGGTGGCAGAGCCCCACTCGCCTGCTCCCTGCCCTGTCTTTCCCCAAAGGTGACAGGGAGGGGAGTCCCCAGCCCAAGGATTAGCTTCCCCGTCTCTCTCCTGCAGGCAGGAGTCTCCGGGTCCAGATCCTTCCCTGAGCCCCCACTGCCCCAATTCCTGTCTACAGGGAATTAAGCCCCAGCCCAGGGTTAGGTGGGGTAAGCATCATGCAGTGTCTCGGTGGCCCCAGCCTTGAGAGAAGAATTTCCTGTTACTTTGAAGACTACTGAGTCCTTTTTCTCCTGCCCAGCGGGATAGAACCCAAACATCTCCCTACAGGGGGGAGAAAGAGGGTCACCTGGGTTGGGGGTGGAGGATCTGATATTGTTTTGTAATATGGCATTTCCTACAAAATAAGAATTTATACTTTGACCAGGTCTCAACTTGTGTTTTCTGTGGGATGTGAAGGGCATGATGTAGGTGGAACATGATGGGTAATGAATAGGGGGCCCAGGGCTTGAGGGAATCGGTAGGCTAGAGGTCAAGATGGGTTTCTGACAAACAAAAGAGCCAAAGACATGAAAAAAATTAAGTGAGGGGATAATGAGTAAAAATGCATGAACCAAAAACATAATGACGTAGTGGAAGGAGGGGGAGGAGCCCAGGGCGTGGTAGTTAATGAAAAGGATCAGTGCAATAGCTAATGGGTAATGGGCAGAAATAAACGGAACGAAGATAGGAATGGTGGTAATTAAGTACGAGGGGCTCAGGTTTAATGGATAGATGGCAAGAATAGGCTATAGGCAAAATTATGAATAATGTAATAGGAGCTCCGAACACGATGGGTAACATCTGAATGAGCCAGAGTTAGAGGGATGAATAATGGAGAAATAGGGGAAGCAGGCATGATGGGTAATTAAGGGCTAAAAGAACGACAGAAGTGAACAGGCAGAAACGGGCTAAAGGTAGTATAGGCGACGAACCTGAAATGAATGGGGCAGAGGCATGCTGGGTAATGGGACAGGAATGAATGGACCAAAGATAGTCGCAGTGACGCAGGTCTGCACTGTGGGAAGGTGGGGGATAGAAGGCAAAATGAGTAACAAGAGGGATGGGTCTATGGCAACTGTCGCGTTCAACAGGTAAAGGGCACTGTGGGTAACAAGAAGCCGGACAGGGTTCACATAACCGGTTAGAATTCTCCCAAAGCACTGTGGGAAGCACTTCCGGTTTTCGGTCGCCGACCCGGGACTGCGGGGTTGCCCCTCTGACGCGGTGCCTGACGGGACGCGAGGCCTGACCTTGCTGCCTAGCAGCCTCTGCCGCGCAACCCACCTTTACCCGTGCACCTCGACCCTGGCAGGTTAGCCAATGAACGCACCAGACTGATTACGTCACCACTGTGCCTGACGGAGCCAATCAGGATGCTGCAAGGGCCAAAACCAACCAATTATCAAGGAAACTTCGCCGCGGGGCCTGGTCGAAAGAGGAGCGCCTTCTGAAGAGGGGCGGAGGCGACAAGTCAGTGGGCGTTGCAAAGTGCTAAACACAGACCAATAGCAGGCGAGCACCGGAACCCGCGGCGACGCGAGCCAATAGGCGTGGGCTCTGCGAGCCAATGGGAAGGGCAGGGAGGTGTGCTTTGACCTCCTGCGATTGGGAGCCAATAGAAAAGGAGGTCCCAAAGAAGTGGGTGGGACTTCCATCCATGTCTCCAATAGCAAGGCCAGGCCCCGAAGCTGGTGGGCGGATTTCAGGGCATCTTGGACCAATCGGCTAGGCGGGGCGGGACGGCGGTGGTGGCGGCGGCGGCAGTGGGTTCGGTTGCGCGCGGCGCACGGGGTGGGAGCGGAGCCCAGGCCGGGAGCAGGCGCTGCCGCCAGTGAGAACTGGAGCCCGGAGTAGGGTGGGGGTTGGCAGGGGACTGGGCTGGGAACGGGCGGTCCCTGACCCCCGCCCTTTGACCTTTCTCCTGCAGGCGACCATGGGGAACGTATTGGCAGCTAGCTCGCCGCCCGCAGGGCCGCCGCCTGCGCCCGCCCTCGTGGGACTGCCGCCGCCGCCACCGTCTCCTCCGGGTTTCACGCTGCCGCCACTCGGGGGCGGCCTGGGCGCTGGGGCTGGGGCGGGTCGAGGTTCGGAACGGACGCCCGGGACTGCGGCCGCCAGCACCGCAGGAACCGCGGACGATGGGGCCAGCGGCTGCCTTCCCAACCCGGGCACGTTCGAGGAGTGCCACCGGAAGTGCAAGGGTGAGGGGCGAGGGACCTGGCGGGGGTGTGATGGCCCAGATCTCGGAGAAAGGGGGAGCACATTGAGGCAACCTTGGGAATTGGCACGGACCATTGGAATTATTTAACAGAGCGTTCGTTAGGAGTTGACGTTGGGATCGAATGGTGGAACATTGGACTTGGGGCTTAGAACGATGGGATTAAATGATGGAATCTCGGATGGAATGCCCTTCCTAGAAAAGCCTCTGGGACCTCGGGAGCACCAGGGATCAGTCAAGCCAGCCTCCTCGTGTGATGGGGAAAGAAACTGAGGCCCAAGGTCACAGTGTCAGTCAGGTGTCAGCAAGGGTCTAGTGGGGGTGGAACCCCAAGCTTCTGGATCCTGGCTTGGAAAAGCGAAAGTGTTCGAGATTTATGTTGAGCACTGTTCTGGCGTTCGGTATGTGTTCATTCGTTAAATCTTTGCAATGTTTCCATGTGGTGAGCATCATCTTACAGATGACAAGTTTGACATAGGTAAAGTAACTTACCTAAAGCCACACAGTAGCGGGTGGTGGCACTGGGATTTGGACTCAGGCAGAAGTCCTGGTCCAGGCCCCATCCATTAGGCTATAGTGCCATTTTACTGGCTGGGAGCATTCTGTGATTCCTTGGAGAAGGGAGAGCTGGGGGGGATAGGAAAGGCAGGGATGAGAGAGAGTGTGTGTGTGGAGCGTGGAGTGTGACAGCGTTTTCTTCTTCAGAGCTGTTTCCTATTCAGATGGAAGGTGTCAAGCTCACAGTCAACAAAGGGTTGAGTAACCATTTCCAGGTGAGCTTTCCTGGTGCCCTTACCCTCTAGAGGTCATCTTGGCCATCCCTCTGCATCTGTACATACAGCCCCCTTACTCTTCCCTAAAGGGCTGGGCTCCTTGGTACTTGAAAAGACCCAGAGATACAGTACCAGGCTAACTACTCAATGGGAGCCAGCGGTAGTGTTTAGGGACCCAGAGTCCAGAGTTACCCCGCCCCCCATAACATCCAGGCAGGAGTGAAGTGCCAGGTATACAGCCCCAGCACATTTTTTTCTCTAAGTCTTTAGTCAAGCCACACCTCCCAGTCTTTACCCCCTGCCCAGCCCAGAGATGCTTGTCTTTTTCTTCTTAATGGGGAAGCCTGATCGGCAGGTACCCTCCATCCCAGGCTGGAGGGAAGCTGTGCAGGGGGTGGACTCTCCCTGTGGGCGTGGCCCACAGCCTGATCCCCACAACCCTCCCTCTGCTCTCAGGTGAACCACACAGTAGCCCTCAGCACAATCGGGGAGTCCAACTACCACTTCGGGGTCACGTATGTGGGGACGAAGCAGCTGAGTCCCACCGAGGTGAGATTGCTCCTGTCATTCATTGTATCATTTTTCTAACAATTGTAGCCAAATACCACACTAAAATCTTTGTGGGTAGGAGGCTAGAGCTTCTGAGGGAGCTAAGGGTGTTGGAAGAGGGGACTGTGTCTCTCTAAGATGTGTTAGGACACCAGTCATTCCTTCATCCTGAACCCCTGCTCCCTGCCCATTCCTGTGCTGGCGAGGCTTTGAATGCCAGACTAGGCATTTGAACTTTCTCTAGGGGGCACTGGAGAGCCATGGGAAGATTTGAACTAGGGAAAGTCATGGTCAGGTTGATGCTTTAGAGATGTCTCTCAGGCTGCCAGGCTGAGGCTAGGTTAGGGGAATGGGGGCAAAACTGGAGACCTGGGAGGAAGGAGGACTCAGGTGGAGTTGGGAGACTGGATTAGGTCTTTGTTTGTATTAATTATTTCTGTTCAGTAAATTGGTTTATTCAACAAACCGTTATAACCCTGTTCTGTGCCCAGCCCTGTGCTGGGGACATAGCAGTGACTGAAACAGCTATGGGGCTCATGGTCTAGTGGAGACAGGACAGGTTTGTCCCCAGAGAATATTAGTCCAGGGTGGGCAGGACTGAAATGGGGGAACCCAAAGGGAGCCCACAGGGGAACCTAAATCAGCCTAGGTGGTCAGGGAGGGCTTCCTGAAAGAGAGGACCTCAAGCTGGGGCTGTCTGATCCTAGGCTTCTCACCTTGTCCCATCACTCATGTACTTCCATTATGCCAGACCTTTGACCTCTAACCTTGCCCTTTGCCTCACAGGCATTCCCCGTGCTGGTGGGTGACATGGACAATAGCGGCAGCCTCAATGCTCAGGTCATTCATCAGCTGGGCCCCGGTCTCAGGTCCAAGATGGCCATCCAGGTGAGTGGAAGTCGAGTTGGCTGCTCTCCCAGCCACCTTAAGCACTGGGCTGCCCTTACACTCCCCCCTCCTCCCCGACAGACCCAGCAATCAAAGTTTGTGAACTGGCAAGTGGACGGGGAGTACCGGGGTTCTGACTTCACAGCGGCTGTCACCCTGGGGAACCCAGACGTCCTGGTGGGTTCAGGTAAGAGGCACAGGGCTCTACCAGCCACAGCTTTACCAGCAAGCCCATCCCTTTTGTGGACTTCCCTTCTACCATCCGAGAAACGGGCAGGGGCGGGAGAGGATTTGAAACACCAGACAATATAGCATCGTGGGTGAGAAAGATTCGAACCCTAGCTCTGCTGCTTGCTGAACTACAGTCGTAGGCAGGTTCCAGCACCTCGATGGGCCTCAGTTTCCTTGTCTGTAAGATCGGGCCGCCTCACAGTGTTGTTGAGTAGGTCATGTAAGTTCATGTGCGTGAAAAGCTTCAAAGGGGGTCAGGTGTGTAACACGACCCAAGGAAGTGAGCTGTTATTATTACCCATGGGACTCGGGGGTGGTTTGGGGGCACGGAGCAGACCCCAGGGCCGGCGGGGTCTACGTGCAGTTGGAGGAGGACACCGGTAGTTTGAGATGGAGGCTGACGGCAAAAACCATCTGAGTTCTGTCTGTACTTTAAGTCTCTTCGATGTTTTTGTTTGTTTGTTTGTTTGTTTGTTTTTGTCTTAGGGTGTCTGCCTTTGATTTCTCCACATGGATTGAATGAGTATTTATTGATCGCGTACTATATATGTTCTAGGCACAGAGGATAAGGTGGTGAACAAAGAATTAAGTCTGCCTTCTAGGAGCTTCTATTTTAGTGGTGGCAGATACAACTAAAGCAGTACATAAAGAGAAGATGTCAGGTGACGGGGGCTGTAGGGAGAGATAAGGACAGGAGGGACGGTACCAAGCAGGTACACGGGAAAAGAGCTTTTCCACCAGAGGAAGCAACAAGGGCGGAGGCCCCGGGCACCCTGTTGCTGGAGCATCGAGAAGGAGAGTGGCTTTAATGGGTGAGAAGTCAGGGGTGAGGGGGCCAAGTCACATGACATTTTGTGGAACTACAGCCTTTATTCTGAGTCAGGGGTCACCATTTGAGAGGGACAGGATCCAACTTGGCTTCTAACAGGATCTCTTGTGCTGACATGTGACGCGTAGACTACAAAGGGACCAGCCGCAGGGGCAGTGGAGGCGGGGCGAAGTGGTTGGAGCTGGGTGCACTTCGAAGGTGGAGCTGATGGAATTTGATGATGGATTAGCCGTAGGCCAGGAGATAAGAGAAAGGAATCCGCATGACTCCTGAGTGTGGGGCTCGAACCAGAGGATGGAGGTGGTGGTTCCCACATGTGCCCTGTCCTGGGGAGCAGGCTCTTGGGCAGTGAATACTGAGCACATTTGTGAAGGCAGGAAACAATCCCTGGGAGGGAGGAGTGCCCAGGGAGAGCTCTTACTTCTGCCTGCCAAGGCTGAGGAGGCTTCTCAGAGGAGGTATCACCTTTGAGCTTCCAAAGGAAGGGGAGGAGGGGGGCAGCTGCAAAGGGTCGGGGGGAGGGAAGGGCCCTGTCATAAAAGCCAGGACACAGGGAAGCTGGGCATGAGAGGCTGCCTAGGTGAGGCTTCGTCCGTGGGGGTCCCGGGCGGAATGAGGGGCCTAAGGCAGGAAGCAACATTTTCTTTCCCCTGCTGACCGCTGAAGCCATCACCCACTCTGCTCCCACGCTCACTGCCGTTGGGCCACGTGAGCTTTTCTGTCGCTTCCCGGAATCGCTGTGTGCTTTCTACCCCAGGACTTTTTTACATGCCGTTCCCACTGCTTAGAATTCTTCTCTGGTGGTGATGTGGCTGAAAGAGTGAGTCTCAGGGCACACGTCACCCTGACTAGAAGCCCTTCCATGACTGAAGCATGCACGTTGGCGCTGGGTCGCGTCACCCTGTCCCTTCGTCTTTGTAAGCACTTCCCTCCGAAGTCGTCTCGCTCTTTATCGCCTGTCTCCTACGTCAGGATGACAACTCTTTCAGACCTGGAACCTTGCCAGGAGCGAGCGAGTGCTTAGAAAATACTGAGCAAAGGAGTAAGTGGTGCTAACGGCAGGTCCCATCTTTTGCTTCTTCCTTTGTCGGGCCTCAGACACGCTATGTGCATCCTCCCCTTCGTTCAGCCGTTCTAGGCACTAGTGGCAAAAATGGCTCCTTGAATCCTCTCATCAGCCCTGTGGGGTAGGTGCTGACATTATCTCCATCCTATTGCGGCCCACAGAGGGGAAGTGCTTCCCCAAGGCCACGGAGTCCGTGCGCTTCTCTCTGGCACCAAGCATCGCCCCCTGCACACCCTCGCCAGCATCATCCTCCCGTGCTCCCCAACACTAGCCTCTAAGTCCCTCTTCCCCAGAGCCCAAGGCCACCGGCTCTACTCTCATGTCAGTTCTCACAGGTGTCTCTTCCTCCTCTCAGACACGAAAGAAAACTGTGCCTCCTGGGTCAGGTCAGTGCTGCACACACAAGTAACTCACTACCAACTGCTCAGACTCAGGTCCCTGGTGGCCCCACCCCCTCTGAGCCTCAGCTTCCTCGCCCGTCACAGGAGCACAGTAGCAGTGACCACCTTGCCGAAGGAGTCAGTAGGGGCCCCATCTTCAGCCCTACGTCCCGGGCCAGACGCACAGTTAGCGCTCGCTCTGTCTGGTCCCATGCCGCCCCACAATGCTCAGAGGTGCCTGTTTCTATGGCCCCCATCTCACAGATGGAGAAAGTGGGGCCCAGGGTGAAATCTGGCCCAGGACCACCCGGCGAGGAGGCAGAGCAGCTAGAACACGGCACGGCCTAATTCAAAGGCCCACGTTCTTACCTGGCTCCCTCCCCATGGCCTCCGCTCCTCTAGAGCATCTCTCCTGTGCTGACCCTGAGCGAGGCAGTGCTGCGTCGCCGAGACAGCCGCTTCCTGCCTTCGTGGGGCTCGCGGGCCAGGGGGAGAGATGTGTGCTTTTAAACAGATGGTCACACAGTGACTTCATTGCTATCGTGAGAAATCCTACTCAGGAAAAGTCCACGTTGCCGCGGGAGCTGATTACAGGGATCCCGTCTCACCTGGAGTGACAGGGACAGACAGCCTTTCTAAAATGGCAGTGTCTCATCCAAGCGAGAGTGGTGAGAAGGGTGGCTCTCAGAAAAGGGTACTGCATTGAGGGGGCAGAAAGAGTTCCTGTCCAGCTGGCACCAAGACCCACCTCCCGATGCTGCCCCGACCTGAGCATCTGCCCTGGGTGTGCGCCAGTCCTGCCCCAGGTAACTGCCCCAAGGAATCCTGGCGTGGCCCCAGTCCTGCAGGGGAAAGGTCTGGGGGTGGCGCCCAGATCTCCTGCCCAGCAGGTTTGGGAGACAGATCGCAAGATACGATGGCTTTTGCAGAGCTGGGCTCTGCCCCTTGCCCGAGGCTTTCTCTCTCAGACTTCTGACCCACTTTCTCTCCTTCCAGTGAGATTTGGACTCACCAGGTTCTCCAACCCCTGCAGGATGCCCGCCAAACCCCCCGATGAGAGCTGCCCTTCTCAGCAAAGCCCCGGCCTCAGGGAGCCCATGTGCCACGAGAAAGCTGGGTCTGGCAGGAGGGAAAACCAGAGTGAGTTAAGGGGACAGATGCAGGAAGGGATCAGATGTTCAAGGAAAAGGCCTGCGAGGACCTGAGTGCTGGCAGCGCCTTGTGCAGCTCCAGGAGGAAGGGCAGCCTGGGCCACTGTGACCACAGGCCGAGGGCGTGTGCTTCAGGAGCAGGGAGGAGGCTGTGGGGTGGGGATGAACAGGGGCCGTGGGGCCATGGGGGCCAGGGAAGATTCAGCAGTGGAGACTGCGCTCGGACTCGGGTTCCCACAGACTCAGTGCTCTGCTCTCACCAGTGATAGGAGCTGGGCGGAAGCAGGGAACCAGCGCAGGGTGACTGCCAGGGTCCCATGGGGGGCAGTGGCTCCACGCAGCAGCGTGCTGGAGAAAAGCAGCCAAATGCAGGAGATACTTAGGTGCAGATATTTAGTTGGCGGGACCAGGCAGAAGGGAGAGTACACTGGGCAGGGGGCGGGGGAGCAGTGTGCGCATGGGCCCAGGGGGCAGAGAGCTCTGTGGCTCTGCCGCCTAGACACAGATGTGGCCAGCTGTGTTAAGGAAAGAGGAAATGGCTCTCGGGAGCTGTGGCCCAGCCACGCGGGGCCTTGCAGGTGTGCTGTGAGGAGCCAGGGCCTCCTTGACACTGGGGAGCCACAGCAGGTTCTCTGAGCAGGGGGAGAGCAGGGTTGAGTGTGTGTTTTAGCAGGATCCCTCTGTCTGCTGCGTGTGCAGTTGCTGGGAGAGGGCGAGGCTCAGGAAGGGTCTGAGAGACGTCTCAAGGCCCTCAGTCTCAACAGTTGGCAGAGCTGGGAGGCCCATGAGTTTTAAGTCTCGTGTGACTCCAATAGACAAGTCACTTTTCCCTCTGTGGACCTCAACTGGATGAGTGGATGAGCCAGGCCAGAGGTGTGCGGTGATGGTTTAACAGCCGGCGGGAGGGGTCGATTGTATCATCTGCTTGTTGGGAGAGGAAATGTAAGCTCAGAGTGGCCAGCTCCAGCCCACCAGGGCCCTGGCCACGAACTCTCCCTCAGCCGCACTGGCAGCCCCCTCCTGGGTGTGCCCACCCCCGATCGTGTCCCACCATTCCTGCCTTGCTCCCTCGGCCAGTCTGAGTCTGTGCCTCTGGTTTTCTTTGAGAAACAGGGTCGTGCCTCTTGCTCCAGCCTGTCCCTGCTCGTCCCCGCCCCCGCTTTCTCAGGTCTGTCTTTTTCTTGCTGAGTTGCGACCGCTCAGCCTGTCTCTGCTCAGTCTTGGCTGGTTTCTCTCCAGAGAACCTTAAGTTTCTTTCCTCTCCATTTCTGATTCTGCTTGCCTGTCTCCGTATCTGTGTTGTCTGTTTTCTTGTCACTCCTGCGTCCCCCACCCCTGGTTCTTCCCCTCCTGTAAGATCACATTTGTGGTATCTGCTCTCCTGGGCATGAGTGAGTCTCAGGTCTTGGCTCATGGAGAGTCATCTGTTAGGAAACACACGGGCCTCAGGGCATGAGGGGCAGGGACCAGTCCTAGCGGTGCCGGCGTCCCCTCCTTGGGGCTTTGTCTCCACCTCGAGAGGTAGTCCTGTCTGCAGAGAAGTGATGCCAGTGGCCCGCGGTTACTCCGCCAGAAAGTGGTACGGCCGGAACGTGACCCCGGGCCATCCAGTCCCCTCAGGTGCGCTTTCCCAGCGGCAGAGTGGTTCACACGCACTTTGTGACCGTGGGTGAGTGACTTACTCGGCCTCCTCTGTAAATGGTGGCAAATGAATGCCGGCCTCACTGGGTTGTACAGACCAAGTGAGCTCCCACGGGGCCAGAAGGGCTGACCTCAGAGCCCTGTCATCAGCTCGATGGAGAAGCAGGTGTGGGAGGCCTGAGGCCAGGCCACAGGCCCCAGGCCCCAGGCCTCCAACAGGGCCAGCTTAAAAAGCTGTCTAGAGCAGGAGTCTGGCCCAGCATGCTGGCCAGGCAGAAAGTGACCACTATGAAGCCCAGGTGACACCCTGCCATCTTACCCACAGGAATCCTCGTGGCCCACTACCTCCAGAGTATCACACCGTGTCTAGCCCTGGGCGGAGAGCTGGTCTACCACCGGCGGCCCGGGGAAGAGGGCACTGTCATGTCTCTAGCAGGGAAATACACATGTGAGCCTGGGGCCTGAGGGTAGGATTCGGGTCTGCGGGCCTGGACTGCTGGGTTTGTGGGAAGAGGGGCTGCGGGCCTGGACTCCTGGGTCTGAGGGAGGAGCGGCTGGGTCCCCGAGTCCCCTTGGTAACCTACCCCCACCTCTCACCCTGCTCTCTCACAGTAAACAACTGGTTGGCAACAGTAACATTGGGCCAGGCGGGCATGCATGCAACTTACTACCACAAAGCCAGTAACCAGGTGAGCTGGTCCAGACACCGCTGCCAGGGCATACGTACTTGCAGGCGTGGGGAGCCAGGGGCTCGTGTGCCAGGGGCTCCAGCCTGGGAAGCTGACTCTGTTGCCCTGGCCCTTCCAGCTGCAGGTGGGCGTGGAGTTTGAGGCCAGCACAAGGATGCAGGACACAAGTGTCTCCTTCGGTTACCAGCTGGACCTGCCCAAGGCCAACCTCCTCTTCAAAGGTACAGGCCTCAGTTTTCCCTGCAAAACGGGTGAGAGGCCACTCAGCTCTGAGCGGATATAGGCTGAAGATGATGGAGGGCAGCGTGCCGGGCCTTTGTGGGTCTCCGCTCGTTAAGAAGGTGGGGACCTGGGCCCCGAGCTTGGCACCTCCCACGTCCCCTCCTCGTCACCCCAGCCAGCAGCCCTCTCCCCGCTCTGCACTGTGCCCTCTTGATTCCGTTTCCGTGAGTGGAAGGCAGCCCGGAGCGCGTCTGGCCACCCCACGCACCTCTCGTTAGCGGAAACCGAGGCTCCCGAGGTTGCCCAGTCACTACCAGGTCCAGAACCCCGCCCTCAGCTGCCCGACTCTAGGCCTGAGCACCAATTTTAAGGTTTCCTTCTTGGACCTTGGTGGTTCTAGGCTCGGGGGGCGTGAAGACCACCACCCCCAAGGCTTCTTCAGTCGGCCTAGGGCAGAGTTGCCACCAGTAGTGTTTAGGCCCAGGGGCTTCTTGGCGTCTGAAGCCTCTCAGCCCTCGCTCTGCTGTCAACGCAGTGGCAGAGGCTGGGTTGGGGTTCCATCTCTGCTCCCGTGAAGTGAGTGAGACCCCCCTCCCACGTGGGGATGGCTCCGTGCCCGCACATCCGTCAGGCTGAGAGGAGACTTCCGTCTTTCGTTCAATAGACAATAAGCACCCACTGTGCCCAGCCTCGTGCTTGAGGTGCTAGGGACACAGCGGCAGCCAGGCCCTGTCCTCACGGGGCTCACACTGGGAAGGGCAGACCCATCCCCAGAGAGCTAGGACCTGGTCTAGACAGGACTTGGGATGGGGGAGCCCGTGGGTGGCGGAGGCTTCCTGGAAGGAAGGGATCACTGCGCTGAGAACGGAAGAAGACTAAGCCAGTTGCTCCCAGGGCTGAGTATTTGGGATATGGGAGGAGGTTTCTGGGAACAGCCTGGTCAGATGTCTGGAAGCTGGCATCTGGCTGGTGGTGTCCAAGGTGGCCTGGAGTGTGACTCCGGGGACAGTGGGAAGCGGGCACATCGCTCTCACGGCAGCTGTCTGCCCACAGGCTCTGTGGACAGCAACTGGATCGTGGGCGCCACACTGGAGAAGAAGCTCCCACCCCTGCCCCTGACGCTGGCCCTCGGGGCCTTCCTGAATCACCGGAAGAACAAGTTCCAGTGCGGCTTTGGCCTCACCATCGGCTGAGCCCCTCTTGGTCCCGCCTCCCACGCCCTTCCTTCAGATCCCACCCCCCTCCCCTGTCACAGAGGGGAGACCTGAGCCCCCTCCCCGTCTCTTCCCTCCCTCCCAGGGGTTGGGGGAGGGGGGAGCGGAAAGGAGGGGACCCATCGCCCCAGCAGCTGAGAGGGGATTCTGGAACCACGGGCACTTCAGGATTCGGAGCGCCAGGGGCAGCGTGCCCAGTGGCCCTGAGGTCCCAGAAGGGGTTCCGGAAATGAGGGGCATGCCAGATTTGGAGCACTAGGGGCAGAGGCAGCCAGACAGCCTCAGGGAAGTGTTGGGGCGTCCCCACCCTCTAAAGGGCCCTGGGCCCTGGCCCGGCGGGAGGGGGCAGCAGGAAGAGGAGCTTCCCCATCCCCGGCCCACCCCACCCACTCTCCCATCTACCCCGCGGTATAAATCATGTTTATAAGTTATGGAAGAACTGGGACATTTTACAGAAAAAAACGAAAAACAACAAAAAATATACATAAAAAAAGCAAAATGGGAGGCCTTGGTTTTCCTACCAGTCTGTGGCCCTGTTTTGCTCGATCCATCCAGTCTGACCTTCCCAGCCGTCGGTAGGGGGCGCCAGAGGCTGGAACGCCTAAGGGCGACTCTGGAAAGGGGTCTATCCTGGCTCAGGATCACACAGCCACCCTGTGACTTCTGCCCTCCCTGGGAAATCACAGGCCTTCCCTCACCAGGAAGGCGGGGTCTTCTGGTCACTGCCTGCCCCTTGGCCTGGCCAGAGTGGCTACAGGAGACTTTGTTCCTACAAGCTAAAGCAACAGGGATGGCCCTGTCTGAATGCAGGGGTGGAGGCAGCAGGCTGAGACCAGGGCTTTCCAGGTTCCAAAAGGGGCATGGGGTGATGGGGCGTTAGGACCTTCTTTCTGACAGGGAGGTCCAAGCTTCCAGATGTTTCATGAAGGATTCAAGCACCTGGAAAGATTTAGGAATCAATTACTGAGCCTGACTGGGGAGAATGGCTTGGGCGGAGGACTCCTGGGCCTGGGGAAGGGCCTGAAGTCTCTGACCCTGGTCTGGAGGAGGAAGTTCGGAGGCTGAGTCACCAGTGTCTCAGTCGTCCGATGCTGGGAGCAGGGGGGATCAGTCCGGCCCACCAAGAGCTCAGGTAAACACACCCCTGACCCCCCAGATGGGAACAGAAACCCACACACAAAGGGTCTGGAGAGGGAGGCAGCTAGGCAGAGATGACCCCTTATTACCTAGAGAAGCCACACTGCCCCCTCTGTCAGTGCCCTCAAAGGCCAAAGCAAACAGGCCTGTCTGGCGTTGGGGCCCGCTTCCTGGGACCAGGCGTGCGGCCTCCCCTGACCCCATGGAATCCCATCCCAACTCTGGTTCTTCCTGTGTGGCCTTGGCTCTGAACCTGGGGTTTCTCATCTGTGAAACAGCTGGATTCTTGTAACAGGGCTGCTAGGGAGGTAACAGTATTGGAGCATTCACTATGGCCAGTCACAGCACTTAGATCTAAGCTGGGACCCACTGTGTGCCAAGGGTGTTCTCTACCTCATTAATAGGGTGCAGCAGGTTCTCAACGTTTTGTTCCACATTGTTTCCTCATAACGAGATACCGGTTGGAACTTAACTCATTTCTATCAATTAGCCTCTGGTAAAATTGGTTTTGTTATACGTTGCTTTGCCGAAGTTCCAGGAACCATCTGTCAACGAGGTTAAGTAAGGACTTCTTGTAGCTCGTTGCATCACTGACTGATGGTGTAAATGCAGCTATTTCCCTGCTTTTGTATACCAAGAAACAGTGTTCAGAGAGGCCTGGTCATTTGCCCAAGGTCACACAGCTGGCAACTGACAGAGTCCGGATTCAGGCCGTGGCAGTTTGGTTCAGAGTCCCCAGTCCTATCCGGGCAGCATAAATGCTTCAAGCCCAGTGAAGACACACTCCAGGCATCTGGAATCCGCAGTGCCTGTGCTGGATTTTCATTTCACACATGTGGACAGGGGCTCAAATAGGCTCATTCGTACCCAAGTCACAACCAAAGAGGGAGCTAGGATTAAGACCCAAGTTTCATTCTCAAAGCCCAGGCCTTCAGCAGATGCGTTCCACTGTCCCCAGCCTCCCATCCCGTTTGTCGGCCTCCAGTCTCCTCCCTCAGACCCAGGAATCCAAGCCCCTAGCCCCTCCTTCCTCTGACCCAGGATCTCGGGACCCCAGCCCTCTCCCAAAATTTTACTCATCCACAAGAAAAGAGGAGCAGACAAGGGGTGCTCTCAGCAGCTGCCTGCGCCTTCCCCTCCCATGCCCGGCCCCCTAGAATAGAGGGCGCCTTGAGTTACTGGGTAAGATGGTGCCTCCCCTCATGGGGGCTGGGGGCGTCACAGGGCCTCCAAGCCCCACCTCCTTTCCTCCCGGCTGTGTGAAGGGGGAGACCTGCCCACCTCGTGACTGGGGGCTGGCCCAGCGGCCCTAGCCCTGGAGGAATGGGCGGGGCAGGGGAGCCCTATAATTGGAGGAGTCTGGGATCTATCCTTGAGTCCTACTCAGCCAGAGCGGAGGCGAAGGACGGCTTCCCCAGGAGCCGGTGAGAAGCAGAATTGGGAGCACAGAGACCAGCTCAGGGCTTCTGTGCGGGATGGGCCGGGGGGAGGAGGTGACTGTCCTACGCCTGGATCAGAACAGAATCACGAGCTGGGGATGAGGTCAGAGGCTGGGGACTGGATCTATGGGAGGTGGGGGCCGGTCCCAGGGGCGACCCGACTCGGCTAGAAGGTGGGGCGAGTGGGACATCTGGACTAGTAGAAGAGCCAGTTGAGCCCACGTGTTGTCATGCATTTGTTGGGCACCTACTGGATGCCCCTGCATCCTCAGATCCCCATTACCTGGAAGCTTGGGGGTGGCGGCGGGATAGCTAGGACACTGGTGGGAGGATTTTAAATGAGAGTTAACTTAGGGGATAGGTGGAGGAAGGCACTCGGTTGTGAAGCTGGAGCTTAGAATGTGAAGGCATAGTGAGGGATGCTGGGTTGGAACTCAGAACCAGCTGGAGCCACATGGAAGGCGGGCGGGCGGGCACGGGCGGGGTGAGTGGAATTTGAACCCCGGGAGAGGGAGATGGAATTTTGGCGGGGAGGCTGACCTTGGGATGAGGAGACAGAAGACAATGAGGGGGTTAAATAGACAATGGAGGGCACTAGGTAAATGTTTGTGGTGGGATTAGGATGGTGCAGATCTGGGGCTGGGGGAGGCTTTGAAGGCCTCGAGGGGGTGGGGGTGGGGGTGGGAGTGGGGCTATGGCTGGACAGAGACCCCACTGGCTGTTGATTGACAGTTTCTCCCTCCCCCAGACTGACCTGCTGAAGATGAAGTTTCTGTGGGCTGCCCTAGTGGTGACGCTCCTGGCAGGTATGGGGTGGGGCTTGATGAGGTTCCTGCCCCTCCCCCTTCCATCTCACCTGTACCCGCTGCCTTCTTTCATCCCTGGGTCCCCCCTTCTGCTGGTCTCTCTCCCCCTTGAGAGGAGGTCCAGGTCTGAGGCTTCTTTTAATATTCATTGGCTCTGAGCAACTGTTTACTCTCTCTGAACCTCAGTTGCCCCATCCTTAAAACAGGTGTTATAACATTTTCCTAATACATCGTCGTCGGGCAGATAGTGATCACTATGTAAGCGTCAGCTGTGATTATCTTTATTCTCCGTCACCCCCAGCACGGCCCTGCGTGGACCACACACTCAGTAAATGCCTGTTAAGTGATGAAACTGGCTGGCCGTCCCTCCACGCCCTCCCTGCCCACCAGTGCCCTGAAGAAGTGCACAAGCATTTGTACAGCACCTACTGTGTGCCTGGAGGGGAGGGAGGACCCTGACTGCCTTGAACTTGCTCCGCGCAGGATGCCAGGCCGACGTGGAGGAGGAGGTGAAGCTGGGGCAGGAGCCCGACAGGTGGCAGGCCAAGCAGCCCTGGGAGCAGGCGCTGGGCCGCTTCTGGGAATACCTGCGCTGGGTGCAGACGCTGTCTAACAAGGTGAAAGAGGAGCTGCTCAACAGCCAGGTCACTGAGGAGCTGAAGTGAGTGTCCCCTCCTCGCCTGGCCCCGGCCCCTCCTGGTGGGCAGTTCGTTCGAGACCCGCAACTTCCACTGGTCTGGGTTTCTTTCCGTCCCTGTCACCAGCTCCTAGGGGATCTGTTCATTTCTTACTTCCTCTTTCTGCCTCGGACTCCAGGTTTTACCTGTCTGGTTCTGTCTCTGGCATGTTCCTGTCCGTCTCTCCCTCCATCATCCTAGGGCAGTGTCTCACACCCTTCTCTCTTGTTTCTGCTGCTGTCTCGTCCTCTTGGCCTGTTCCTCTTTGGGGTCTCTGTCCCCACACCCCATCTTTCTCCTTTTGTCTCTCTCCACCCACATGCTCCCTCCTGCCCTCTTGGCCCACAGGCTGCTGATAGAGGAGACCATGAAGGAGGTGAAGGCCTACAAGGAGGAGCTGGAGAAGCAGGTGGGCCCCATAGCCCAGGAGACGCAGGCCCGCCTGTCCAAGGAGCTGCAGGCGGCGCAGGCCCGGCTGGAGTCGGACATGGAGGACGTGCGCACCCGCCTGGCACAGTACCGCAGCGAGGCACAGGCCGCGCTGGGCCAGAACACCGATGACCTGCAGGGCCGCCTGGCCTCCCACCTGCGCAAGCTGCGCAAGCGGCTGCTCCGTGATGCGGAAGACCTGCAGAAGCGCCTGGCCGTCTACCAGGCCGGGACCCACGAGGCCGCGGAGCGCGGAGTCAGCGCCATCCACGAGCGCCTCGGGCCTCTGATGATGGAGGGCCCCCTGCAGGCCATCCCCCCCAGCCAGCAGCTGCGGGAGCGGGCGGAGGCCTGGGGCCAGAAGGTGCGCGGGCGGCTGGAGTCGGTGGGCAGCCAGGCCCGCGACCGTCTGGACGACGTGCGCGATCAGATGGAGGAGTTGAAGGCCAAGGTGGAGGAGCAGGCCAGCCAGGTGCGCCTGCAGGCCGAGGCCTTCCAGACCCGCCTCAAGAGCTGGTTCGAGCCCCTGGTGCAAGACATGCAGCGCCAGTGGGCCAGCCTGGTGGAGAAGGTGCAGTCCAGCTTGGGCATCAGCCCCTCCACCAAGCCCAGCAAGACCAAATGAGTGCCGGGCATGCATGGCGGGCCCCCCTCCTGCCACTTGCGCCCTCGCCTCTCCCAGCCCCCGCTGTCCCCCGGGGGGCCCCGGCTTAATAAAGATTCAGCACGTTTCACAGCAGTGGCTGGAGTCTCGAGTGTGATTTCTCACAGCTCCAGCCTCAGTTTCTCCTTCCGCACACGTGGGTCTCGGTCCCGTCCCCTCCGCCCACGCGCGTTTCTGTATTTTTGTCTCCTCTTTTAACTCTGTCTTTGCTTCCTTCCGTCCCTTTCTGGGGTTTTCTGCCGCTCACCCTCTCTTCTCTCCCTCTTTCCGTCCTGTCTCTGAGACGTGGTTCTGGAATAAATCCACCCCTGGATTAAATCCTGCAGTTGGCCCTGACTACTGTGGGCAAAAGCAACCTCTCTGAGCCTCGGTTTACCCAGCTTCATAATATCTGCTTCATAGAGTTGTGACTCAAAAGACCCGAGACCACCGCCATTAGGAGGCCATTTTTATTTGTTCCCGCTCATTATTCTCTCCCCCGGCCGCATCCAGTCTTAGCTGATTCTTACTCCTTCCCTCTCCTGGCCTGTCTGTCCTGCTTCCTTTTCCCAGCTTCCTCTTTTCCTCCACCTCTGTCTTTTCTCTCTCCCCAGCCCGGTTTCTCTTGCTCTGGCCTAGCTTTATTTTTTTTCCCTTGCTCCTCCGTGAGGGTTTGTCCTCCCTGCCATTCTGTTGTACTTGAGCCCTCTGCCCTTCTCCTTCCCTCTGGGTATTCAAGTCCCTTCTCCCTGAGCTGTGCTTCCCTGTCCCCTGTGCTCTCTCGGATGCTGGGTCCGGGCTGGAGAGAGAACGGAGAGGAACCTTCCGTGAGGATCTGCACAGGCCCCTGTTGTCCGGGACTGGGAGACTTGAGTTGGGAGTTGGCAGAGGTTGATGGAGGCCCCGGATGGGCTCGCAGGCACCTCCCTCTCCCGCCTGCTCTGGTCTCAGAGGAGGGGAGCAGGGCTTTCACCAAAGGGCAGGCGAGGCCTGAGCTCGTGTCTCCCAAGGGAGCCTGTGCTCCTTGACTCACCCCCGGCTCAGCAGAGAGGGGAAGGGTCAGCGGGCTCAAAGGCAGGGGGGCCTAGTCCCAGCCAGGCCTGCTGCCGATTCGCTGTGCGCCCTAGAGCTGGCGCCGAGCCCTCTCAGAGCCTCAGTTTCCCCAGATGTCAAGGAGGGAGGCAGCATCAGCCATGTCTCCCACTCGAAGAGATGAATTTTGAATTCTCAGAAATGAAGACATCTGAACGAAGAAGAGTGTCTCACCTCACCACAACCCCAGTCAGGTCTAAGGGGTGAGACAAGGGCTGGGGAAGCAGTTTTGGGGAACACAGGCTGACAGGGGGTGCTGTGGGGCAGAGGCTGACTCCAGCAAGGGTCAGAGGAGATAGCCTGGGGTCCGAGAGAGCCCCCCACACTTAACCATTGAATGTCCTTGGCCGTGCCTCAGTTTCCTCATCCATAAACAAAAACCCCTATAGTCGAGGTTAAGACTGGAAAAGTGAGCACAGCAGAGAGAAAGCATTAATAAGATGGCTATATGGAAGGCCCGGGGAGGGAGGGAACAATTGGGGGGAATCGTTTTATGAACATCATAGATGTCTAACCAATATGCTGTATACTTGAAACTAATTTAAATAATTAAATTTTCAAAAAGACTGGCAAAGCAAAGTTGTTCCATTCCTGTGGGGCGGGGGAGGGTGGGGCAGACATCGGGATGGATGTCTGAGGAGGGCTGTGCTCTCACAGAGGAAGCAGATGTCTGGGAAGACAGCTGGGGTCTGACAGGCCCTGGAAGCTGCTGAGCTGGCCAGAAGGGTGTTGCAATCCTGCCAGCCTCGGGTCTGTGAGTCCCTTTCACAACCATCCCCTGTCGCCCCCAGGCTGACACGTGGTTGTGGGGGCACAGGGCCAGTCAACCTAGAGTCTGGGGCCCAGGGCCACCCTCCCCTGAACTACCAGAGGTCACTAGCGGTCAAAGGCAGCTGAGAAGAAGCGGGGGAAGCATTGGACTCCAGCCCTGGGGGACAGATGTAGGGTTGGGAGGCTTGGTGCCATGAGGGGACTGAGAGTGTGAAGAGGAGCAGACGGAGCGTTTATAGGGGCCTTGGAGGCTTGGAGAGTGGCCGGGCGACGGCAGGGTTGGGGGGACCTGGTAGAATGGATGGAGGGGCGCACACTAGAAGCCTTGCAGAAGAGGCTGTGTGGTTCAGACAGGCTGAAAAAACCCTCCCCGAAAGGGAGATCGGGAGCTGTGGAGTGCAGGCTCCAGAGAACATCCAGAGAGGCCTGGATGCCGCCAGGAGAGGGGGGACTCGAAGGGCTAGCCTGAAAGGAGGGCGGAGGGGGCGTGGCGGGCGGGAGTGTGGGGACAGACTGTGTGACCCCACGGGCATGGAGCAAGAGTTGTTTGAGCTGAAGAAGCTTGCTGAGAAGGGGGAAGGGATGGAAGAGGTGGCCTGGGGACACAGTGTGAATTGAGTTACTGAGTAACAGAGCAGGAGGGGGAGAGGATGAAGGCTGTCCCCTGAGGGAACTAGGGGCTCCGGCTGAGGTCCCCCAACAGGGAGATTTGGCAGCAAGGGTAATGAACAAGGGTAATGAACGGCAAGAGGCTTCAGGCTAAGGGACTTGGCAGTGACCCACCTGACTCCCACCCCCACCAGCGAGGGACAGAAGAGGAAAAGGTGGGTGGGCACAGGGAGGCAGGTGCCAGGGGAGCCTCCGAGGGAGGGAAGTAAACTTGCCCCACCCTCTCCCCAGACAATAAAGGCCGGGACCTACTCCCAGGGCTGTCCAGAGTCTGATCCAGGTTGGTGCTCGGTGCTGGGAAGGGACCCTGGACACACACACCAAGAGCACACGGAGAGGAGTGGAGGGACCTTGGGGGAGGGAGGAGAGGCGCCACTGATCACCCCAACCTCCACCTCTGTTTCCAGACCCCTCCGGCGCAGCCATGAGGTTCATCCTGTCGCTACCGGTCCTGGCGGTGGTTCTGGCGATGGTTTTGGAAGGTAAAAGTGGATGGGATAAGAGAATCTGGGAGTTTGAGAGTTGGAAGCGTGAAGCTGGCCATGAGCCTGGGGCCCAGGCTTGGAGGACCCCGGAGAGCTCTGGGCCCCTCCTGTGCCCTGGTTCCCCTGCTGTCCACTGATCAGCATCACACTACCTGAAATCAAACTATACTACAGGACTACAGTAATCAAAACAGCACTTCCCATCCTCCTCTCCCACACATCAGATGAGCTCTCAGTGTTCTCTCAAGGGCGGTCCAGCGGGTAACCAATCTGCCCAGGGGCGCCCTAGCTACAGATGATGTAAGGACTCTCACTCCTTCGGGATTGGCTGTCTTGCTTTTATGACCAGAGAGGGGCAGAGGTGGAGGGGGGGGTTCCAGTGCTAAGAGTAAGGGGATACTCAGCAACTTGAACGCTACCTGGTCACTCGTACCGCACCTGCCCCTCCCCCGCAATTCTAATACCATGACCCCCCCCCAAGAATCCTATTCAAGGGTCTCCTTTTCCATCCCTGGAAGCTCATTCTAAGGGCTCCCGATACTGAAATTGTCGCACCCCTGCCCCTCTTCTGGACAGGCCCGGCTCCAGCCCAGGCGGACCCAGATATCTCCAGCTCCCTGGAGAGCATCCCGGGGAAGCTGAAGGAGTTTGGAAGCACCGTGGAGGAGAAGTTCCGGACAGCCATAGACCAAATCAAAAAGAGCGAATTTTCGGAGAAGACCCAGTTAGGACCCTTCCCCGCGTGTGGGAGGGAGGGGGGTATCCACTAACAGACTGGGAAAGTCGGCACTGTCCCTGTGGTCACACAGCTGGATCTCAGGGTGCTCAGACTCGGGGGACAGGTTCCCTGACTCCCGCATCTAGCCCCACTGTAGAGATGGTCCTGGGGGGTGGTGAAAGACCCAAGTTTGGGGGTTGGACGGATTAGGCTGGCAAAGACTCACTGCGCCCTGTGTGGTCGCGAGCCTCAGTTTCCTCACCTGTGAAGTGGGTGGTTCTAAGGGGAGGTAGACTAGGAGACTGGCATAGCGTTTGGCACGTTGGAAATGCCCGACACGGTATTTAACGAACGCCGGCTCCATTTGGTGAGTTAGAGAATCCTTTATTCGTGAACAAATGTTTATTGAGCACCTGCTAAGTGCCAGGACCGTTTCCAACGTGGGGAATAATAGTCATGAACAAGAGAAAGTCCAGCGTATAGGGTTGGGGGCAGGGTGGGGGCGGGGATTGACAGTCTGTAGGGGAGAGAGAGTGTGGGAAGGAACAGACAGTAAACCAGTGGATTTCCAGATTAGCCCAGATAGAGCTGAGCCGGGAGAAGATAAACAGGTGGGTTTAAACTGCCAAGAACTGGGGAGGGGCCTTTGCAGACTGGTTTCTGAAGAGATAAGACTTTAAAGTAAGATCCCAATGATGAGGAAAATCCAGCCAGAAATCTGAGAAACTTGGGAAGTATGTCCCCTGTGGAGGGTGAGTGTAGAGGCCTGAGGCAGAAAGATCTGTAGATACTCAAGGAGACAGTGGCATTCCCTGCAAGGGGTACAGCCTGGCCCAAGAGGCAGGGGCCCGGAAAGGGGCCTTGAATGACTAGGGGACTGAGCCGGCTTAGAGAAAGTGTTGGTAGTAAGAGACACAAGGCCTCAAAAGCCAGGCGGAGGCAGAGCGTTCAGACTTTAAGGCTCTCTGGTGCCGCTGGGAAACTGAGGCACAGAAGTTGGGCCACCCAGCCCAGGCTTTCTCCTCCCCTCACAGGTGGGGGGAGCCCTGCTGTTTTCTTGAGGGCAGGACAAGATCAGGGAGTCAGGGAGCAGGATTTGGGCGCCCCCAGAGAAGGCAAAGCACGGTGACCCCTCCCCCATCTCTCCCTACAGGAACTGGTTTTCGGAGTTGTTCCATAAAGTAAAGGAGAAATTTGAAACCACTTTTTGAATGCCAGTGGGAGACCCTCTGCTCTGCCTGTGCCCAAGAGGGTGCTCTGAAAACCTTTGGTCCCTATACCGAGGACCTCTTCTACAATACATGGCCATGTCCACCCCCTACCACCAGCAATAAAAATCCTATGGAGAATTCTGAGAGCTTCTTTGCTGTGCCGCCAGGGCTGTGGGACAGGTTGGGGGAGAGGCGGGGTGCACCTCTGGGGAAAGGAAGCGGGTCTCAAATGCACTGTGGATTCTCTACTTGCCCTGTGCTGAGGACTTTGGACTTCGAGATCTCAAAAGAATCCTCACAGGAACCTTGAGAGCTGGGCCCTCCCTAGTAATCCCATTAAGGCCCTGAAGTCCAGAGAGGTGCAGTCACTTGTGCAAGGTCACACAGCCAGGAAATGGAGACCTGGGGCTAACACTCTGCTATACAGTACTCTTCCCTGGTGGGCTGCCCAAGACAAGGGACTGGGGTGATTTGTCACCGTGCACACAGTAGGTGTTTACATTTTCAATAGATAATGGAGATATGGAAGAAGGCAAGGATAGGACTTGGGCTAGATGGACACAGTCCCCACCCCGCAAGTCTCAGCATTGATGTTCCCTCCTCCAGGAAGCCCTCCTTGACCTCCATGCTGAGTCAAGCCACCCCATCCCAGCCTTCCCACTCTGGGTCACTGTGTGGGACCTGTCTGTCTCCCCCACTGGATTGTGAGCCCCCAGAGGACAGGGCCAGGGCCATCATCACCACCGTGTCCTCAGGCGCAGCCTAGCAGAGGGCTCAGCCTGGGACAGAGGCTCAATAATATTCTGTGAAACAAGTGTGCTAAATCCGGAGAAGAAAAACACTAAACATTACATTTTCACAAAACCCCTCTGAGGTAGATGTTATCATCGACCCTGTCTTACAGAGAAAGAAACTGAGGCACAGAAGGCTAAAGTCACCTACGTAATGTCACAGCCCAAAGTCGGTAGAGCCAGGATTGAACCCGGATGGCGGTCCCAGGTGCCACATTCTTACTTACTCCGCTTCCCTCTTCCCTGAGTCGCCCTGAGGAACGTGGCGGCTGCCACACATACGCCCGGCCCCCGGCCTCATTCACGTCATATCCAGCAGAAGAAAATGCACCCACATCCCTCGGCAGATGTTAACCGTGTGAGTTGTGCTGCGGTTGGCTAGTCGGCATAAGGGTATGTTCTATACCCATCTAATCGAACAATTACTGATTTTTACTTGGCCCTTTTTCTAGCATTTTGGAGCCAATAAACTTCTTTTCAAGCCTTTTCATCGGCCCCTGGAGAGCTCTCAGGCTGCAGGCCCAGAGACTCACGGGACAGAGGAGTTGGAGGCACAGTTCACAGAGTGAGTGTGCATTTCGTTTGTAAAGACAGCCTCAAGCTCTGGGCAGACACACGCGCTGGGGTCTTGGGGCCTACCTCTCCCAAACCCCACTCCCTCCTCGTGACCTCTCTCCACCCATCTGCCCCAAAGTTGTTTTTGAGCTATCTCTAGGTCAGCCTCGAACAACATTCAGCCTGTTCCTGTCCCCGGGATGGGCAAACATTGCAAGAAGCAAACAGCAAACAGCCCACAGTGACCTTGGAGCTGGGGCAGGGGTCAGAGACCTCCTCTTGGGCCCACCCCTTGCCCTGCTCCAACCTCCCCCTCGCCCTCTAGAATTTGAGCGGGGACATGGGGCAGAGGTTGTCCTGGCTTAGCTGGGTAGAGTGACATAGCCAGGTTCAAATTCCCCACTTGCTGTTTGAGAGGCCGTGGCTAAGTGGTCTTACCCCCCAACTCTTGCAGCCTCGGTTTCCTCATCTGCAAAACGGGAACGACAGAGATGTTCACTTCGCAGGGCCGCTGTGAGTTCACTCAGCGAGTTCGTGCCTGGTGCATCGCGCATGTTCGGGAAACGCAAGTTGAATTAACAGCAGATGACATTGACCGAGCGCCTTTGTGGCATGTCCGGCACTGCGCACAGCACTTCACGTAGACAATCTCCTTTACTCTCCAGGGCAGGTGGTCCATGACTCCTATTCGTGGATGAATAAACGGGCCCAGAGAGGTTAAGCAACTTGCACCAGGTCACACAGCCACAAAGATGTGGAGCCACAACACGACGCACGGCGACCTGTTTCTTTTTCTATTATTATTACAGTAAGAAACATAACATAAAATGTCCCATTTTAACCACTTTTAGATGTACAGTTCGGTGGCATTAGGTACATTCATAACGTCGTGCGACCGTCGCCACCATCCATTTCTGGAACTTTTTCATCGTCCCAAACAGAAACTCTAGGAGGATTTATCTGGCTGATGGTTGTTGGTGAGGAGCTCTGGGAAATGTCTGTTGAGCACCTACTGTGTGCCAGACCCTATGCTGAGGCCACCGGAATGGACAGCATTCCCTCGGAGGCCTCCGGGTCGGTACTGTCCTGTGTGGTCGTTCAGGTCGTGGCTGAGGTGGTGTTGTCAGATTTACCACCTAAAATACAGGATGCCAGTGAGACTTGAATTTCAGATAAACAACAAGTAATTTTTAGAACGATTCCCAAATATGGCACGGGATATACTTATACTAGAAATAAAACGCATTATTTATCTGAAATTCCAATGTCACCGGGCGTCCTGCATTTTGTCTGACCACCGTGACCCGTTGTCCCCTGGCTGAGCCGTGGGCCACGTGTCCTGGCTCATGGCTGGGTCCTTCAGGAGAAAAAGGCTCACTTTCTTTCTGTTTAACATAGGGCGGAATCTGATGCTGACAAGCCCCTACTGTGTGCGCCTGGAGCTTTCCTTCCCTGCCTCATCCACCCCTCACACGGGCTCTGTGAGGCAGGCGTTTATCACCATGCCCATTTCACAGCTGAAAACACGGAGGCCTAGAGAAAGGGGTGTATTTACCCAGGCCACACAGTGAGGACATGTCTGGCATAGCCAAGGGATGAGATAAATCATGATAAACGGAGATGATCGTGGGCACCTTCCTTGCCCAGGGGGCTCTGTGTTAACATCTTTCCTGGGACCATTTCACTGGATTGATGTCCCACCTGGCGTATGGATCAGGGCTCATTTTACAAAGCGGGAAACTGAGACCAGAAGGAGGGGCTGTCACATGAGGTGGATCTGGGATTTGAATGCAGTTCAGCACAGGAGACCGAAGAGCATTCTGTCTTCCCCTGTCAGGCCAGGGTGCCAGGAGGACGGGAAAGAGGGTAAGAGGGGCGGGCATAGCCTCTGACTGTCACTGTCACCTGGGTCACTCTCTCTGAAGTCTCTGCCAAGGGGCGTGGGGAGGCGGTCAGGAGAGGCCTCTGCCCAGTGTAGTCTCCCCCTCCCCCAGCCTGGAGAGCAGAGCACAGAGGGACAGAGCCCCCAGAAATGTTGCTCCCTGGACGGTGGCCCCAAGCCCTGCCCTCCTTCAGCCTCTGCGTCGTGGTCTTGGTCCACGTTGTGGGTGAGGAGCGGGCGGGCAGCTGTGGGGACCCAGTAGCAGTGTGGAGTGTGAGCGTGATTGTGTGACGAGCGGTACAGTTTGCAGACACGTGGATACGAAGCTTGTGCGCTCTGCAGTGTGCAGATGTGTGAGCGTGTCTGGGAGTATGTGTCCGTGGCAGCCGCGTGTGAGGAACAGATGAGGGGCTGGAACAGATGACGGTGGTCGTGCACGTGTGCTTGAGTGTGTGTAAGTACGGATAAGCAGCCGTGGTATATGTGTGTGCAAAAGATTTGAGTGTGTGTGTCTGTGAGGACCGGTGCGACTATATCTAGGTTGTGCACATGCATTGAAAGTTTTAACACGTGTCTTATGCGTGTTCACTCCGAAGTCTCACAATAATCCCATGAGGAAGGTCCAATCATCCCATTCTACAGGAAGGAAACTGAGTCTTGAAGAGGCTGAGTCATTGCCCGAGGGTACACCGCGGGCCAGGTGGGTGCCTCTATACGTGGGTGCACCCGTGCACCCGCGTGACGGCTGCTCTCTGCGGGTGGGGCTTTGCTCGGGCGCATGCGTGCTGGACAGACAGGTGGGTGCAAGGACGTGGGGGCAGACCAGGGTGGCCCAGGCCTGCCGACCGCCTTGCCCGGGGACCGAGAGTCGTCCTGTGCGCACCCTGCACTGCTCATGGGGGTGGTTCAGACAGCGTGGGGGTCGCAGGAGAGCGGAGGGGGCGGCAAGGTCAGGCAGTGTAGGAGGCACCAGGAGGGAGACAAGGGGCCAAAGAGGCGGGGTGACCGACTAAGGGAGCAAACCAAAGGCAGACAGAGGGGTGACAGGAGGGGCCACGGGCACAGAGGTGAACGCAGATGAAGGGGGACAGGTGGTCAGAGGGACCTAGAAGGAGGGAAAGGCCAGTGGCAAAAGGACTGGCGAGGGGCTGCCCCTGGGCCGCTAGGGGTGACGGTGACAGTGATCGAGGAGGAAAAGGGAGGAGGAAGGGTTCTGGGGTCCCAGTCCACCCAGGTTGCCCCTGGTCCCACCTAGAATGCCCGCAAGAAGTGCCTGCAGGAACCCTGAGCCCCCCTGCCAGGGTCGGCGAGTAGTTCCCGGAGCCTGATGCGGGCAGTGAAGGAGTTGATGGAGCTGCTGCTGACTAGGACCAGACAGAACTGGCAGTGGTTCCAGCGAGTGTGTACAGAAGGGGCTGGGGCCGGGCCCCTGGGCTGGGGGGAGGAGCTGGGGGCCGGGCTCCTGGGCTGGTGGGGGAGGGTCTGGAGGCCCAGATCCTGGGCTGGAGGAGGAGGGGCTGGGGGCCCAGATCCTGGTCTGAGGGAGGAGGGGGTGAACAGGGCAGAGACCTGGGAGTAGTTGGGGTTTCATTTGTGATGACCCTTCTCCTGCAGGGTCCCCAAGGCCTTCTAGGACTTCGTGCAGACCTACTCTAACAACCCCCTGTGGGACCTGGGTCCCCATGCCAAGGCCCGGCTTCGCAGCTCCAACGACAGCCTCCTGAACAAGGCCCACGACCTGTGTCCCCAGCATCCGTATGGGGGACAGAAACCGGGATTAAAATGTTCACAGCCTCCACAATAAAGAAATTATTCTCTGTGTCCCTGTCCCAGTCTTTCCTCAGTGAGGCCAGAGATGACCTCGCCTCACACTCCTCCAGCGGTTAATGAGTAGAGGAAGTGACGCTTGGCAAGGGAGGGAGGGTTGAGGGGTGCTGAGGGAAGGAGTGGGGGGAGTGACCACCCCCCAGTCCTGAGACCCGCTGTGGGCTTGTGGCGAGCGGGAGGCTTCAGGCTCCTCAGTTTGGGATGGAGGGTAAGATCTGGGGAGCAGGTAGGGTTCGCAGGTCCCCACAGTGACCCCTCATTCAGAGCTCTGCCTTTACTTCCCACGCGATGAAGACCCCAGACCCATTCCTGGTGGGTGCCCAGAACCCCCAGCCCCACTACAGCCCCCACCCAGCCTGTCCCTCTCAGGGGTGGATTTTCAGAGTGGGGGCTGTCTGTGGCTTGACCTCAGGGAACGTCACTGCCCTCTGTGCCCCCATCCCACCCCCTTGGCGGTTCCGTTGGCCTGGACTTTGGCCTAGGCGGCCAGGTGGCGGTGGCGCCGTGGAGGGGAGGTGGATCCCAGGAGCTATAAAGCCTTTCTCTGCTCCTGGGAGCTGGTGAGGACCGCCCGCCAGAGTCTGGTAAGAGAGGGCCCGAAATGGAGGGGTGGTCGGCGGGGAGGGGGCAAAGATTGTTAAATCAGAAACTGCAAGAGTGACGACGTTAGTTGCTGTGTAAGAAACACGGAATTTAGAAACGCAGAGTGTTTGCCCATGCTGTTCTCTCTCCTGGGTCAGATATCAAGCTCTTCACAAACCACGTGGGTGGGATGGATGGATGGGGGTCGAGCGGGGCCCACGCAGCAGAAACACGCCCAGCCAAACAGCGGTCTTTAGCCGAGTCCGTGGCACACGTCCCTGCACTGACTGGGCCTTAGCATAAATGTCACCCTCTGCTGAGGCTTTCCCAGGCTGCACGACACACTCTCTGCCCCCAGAGCTCTTATCTCCATGTGACATGCTCTATATTTTATTCATTTAATACTCGTTCATTTTATTTCTCTCTCACGTGGGCTTCCTAAGGGCGGGGCCGCTGCCGTGTTCACACCTGGGCCCAGAACTGTGTTTGGCGCATAGTAGGTGCTCAAGAAATGCTTCTTGAGTGAACGAATGGATGTTAGAATTAAGATGTTAAAATCAGGAGCGGAGTCACAGAACGTTAGGAAGGCCCGAGGCGACCCATGAGTAACCCGACTTGGGTGAGGCTGTGGGAGAGGGGGATCCCAGCCCCTCCTTCTGGGTGAAGGACCCCAGGAATAGATGCCTCCAGTGGCCCTGACCCACACCCTCCTCAGTGTTCCAGGTCTTCCTCCCACGCCATGGACACCCGATATCTCCTGGCTCTGCTTCTCATCCTCCTGGTATTGGGATTTGGTGGGTGTGGGCCACAGGGAAGGTGGGACTGTGAGGTGGGGGGTGAGCCCTGAGCATCTTCCCTGCCCAGGTCCTGTGTGGCCCAGCCCCTGGCCCCTCCTCTCCTTCTCTGCCTTCCCCCTCCCCCCGCAGGCCCACCAGCTCTCCCAACACATTCTCTCCCTGCAGAGGTCCAGGGGACCCAATTGCTCCAGCAAGATGAGGCTCCCAGCAGCACGCTGCTCTCCCAGATGCAAGATTCACTCAGTGGTTACTGGGATACAGCCAAATCAGCGGCCCATACCCTGTACCAGAAGACATACGTTCCCGTGGACGAGAAAATCAGGTACCACTCCACCTCCACGCCAGGCACCAGGAGCCCCAGCCCCCAGCCCCTTCTTCTCCAGACTCAGAAGTCTGACAAACCTACACTCTGTCAAGGCCCAGATATCCCGGCTCTGGTCCCCAGCGCCATCAGAACCCAGGATTCTGAGGTCCCAGCCTGCCCTCTCTTAGGATCCAGAAGTTTGGGTTCAGTCGCCTTTTCTGGCAGGATTCATGATCCTGGCCCCCAGCCCTTCCTCCCTCAGACCCAGGAGTCTGGGACCCCAGGCCCTCCTACCCCAGACCCAGGAGTCTAGGTCCCAGCCTCCCCCTCCTCAGACCTTTTGTCCTTTCTCCCCAGGGACATGTACAGCGTAAGCACGGCAACTGTGAGCACTTACGTAGGAATCTTAACTGACCAGTTCCTTTCTCTGCTGAAGGGAGACCTGTAACAGCTGGGCCCCCTATCGCAGAGAAGGGGAGAGTCCAGACTCCAGCAACTGCTTGGCTCTGTGACTTACCCCTACATCCTGGCAGCTCCCAGGCATCCTGCTCCCAGCTTTAGCCTGATTTCTCATTAATAAAAAAAGCCAAGTTTATTCTCTTCGATGTGATTGCTTTTCTAAGACCTCAGGAGCCAAGATGGAGGACTCATTAAGTCAGGCCAACATTTACTGAGAGCCTAGTGTTTGTATGTAGTCCTAACTTGGCCAGTTGGAATAAAGAGCTGAATAACAATATGTGATCGTAACGACAAAATTAGAGACTGCTCTTCACTAAGGTCCTTTCTCATCTGTAAAATGACAAACCATGGACGAGCTAACCTGCAGTGGTCTCTAGCAGTGTCCAGGCCGTGGGCTGCCACTTTACGTCTGTCATTGCATGGAGCTGTCCAACAGTGCTGTGACAGAGGGGAGACTAGTGCCCATAAGTCACTGCTGAGCATAGAAAGTCAGTGCCCAGGTTGGCTGGGACCCACGAGGACAGACCTGCCAAAGCTGTGCTCCATGACAGTTCTTATACATTCGTCTCACGTGCATTTATCGAGACCCTACCAGGCCTTGAAGCTCAGCAGGGAAAGGACAGAGACAGTCTTGTCTCCATGTGACCCCTCAAAATGCTGCTGATCTGGTCCTGGCCCAACTCCATGTGGTTTAGTGAGTACAGCTTTGTGGCATGTTTTGTCTGTCATTCTCTTCTTATTTGCAACAGTCATGACATTTCCTGAGCTCCTACTCAGGGCCAGGCGCTCTATTTCATCCTGAGTCTACAAATAGAGAGGCTGGAGGGGGGCGCAGGGAGGAGGCAGAGGATGAGCAAGCAGACCAATGCAGAAGATAACTCGAAACAACACAGGCCAGGGAGAAAAGAGGAAGTCAGCAGATCAAGGCCTGAGGGCGGCTGCCTTGGATAGGTAGTGGGTTCTGGCCCAGGAAGGGCCCCCCAGGCTTCTGCATCACAAGGAAGAGTGCTTGGAGCTGTTGTTGCTGGAAAGTGGGGGAGGGGAAGGGGCACCAGCTTGGCCCCCAGGTCCGCGTGTGGGATTGTTAGTGGTCAGAAACGGGTCTCTGGGCAGTGGGGAATTGCAGGCAAAAAGCACAGGGTGTGCAAATAAGAACCGAGGCTCTGTGGTCTGAGAGAAGACAGTGCTGAAGCCCATGGTAGAGGGGCCGGGGACCTTGACTCCTGGCCCCCAAGCCCTAGGGGCGGGGCTGTTGGCCTCTGGGACCCAGGCCCTGCATTTCTCCTAATCTGCTTGGCACTAACCTCCTGCCAGCCTTTCAGCACTGTTGGGGCAGTTTTCCCAGGTCCTGAGGCTGGGCAGCTGTGAGTCTAGTGGAAAACAGGGGCCTTGGGGAGGGGTTGTGGGAAATGTCCCCAAGTCCCCAGGGCCTGAGAAGAGCTGAGGCTGCCAAACCTAGCGGGCGATGGGGAGGGGGTACCCTGGGGGAACAATCCCTGCTCTGTCCACTTGTTTCCCACGAACTCAAGCCAAACCAAACCTCTGCCCAGGCCAGTTCTACTTCCAACCAATCCTGGTGCCCTTCCCAGACTCCTCCTTCCTTTCTCAGACCCCCGCCCCCCGCCCCAAGTCCTATTCCCCTTAAGACCCCAGAACTAGGTCCCCAGACAACTCCTCCCCCAGAATTCAGGAGTCTGGGACCCCAGACTTCACTTCCTTCAGACTCAGGAGTCCGGGATCCCTAACCTTAGGACCCAGAAGTTCAGGTCCTCAGCCCCCCTCCTCCCTTAGAACCTGAAATCACAGACTCTGGTCGGTGTTGTGCGTCCCCTAGTGGAGGGGAGAGTGAGTCTGGCCTGGGATTTATTTACCAGTTAGAAGGAATGGAAGAATTGATCTGGTCACTCAACAGACATGGGGGAGGGCTTTGCAGGGGTCCCATCTAAGGTCACAGTCTAGCAGAGAGCCTCTCATTCTTCAATACATCAGGACTCTACTGTGTATGAAAGAAGGAAGAAAGATTGAGATATTTGGTATTTCTAGCTGAGAGCAGAGACGGGGTTAGTTACAAGGAATCTGGAGATTAAGCTTCAAAGCCCCTCACTTGTCTGGGATTTCTGTGGTGCTCTATTTAAATGTGTACATGTAATTTTGTACATTTTTTTTTTTTTTAGGTGAGGCAACCCTTCGTTGACCTCACAGATTGCAAGGACCTTGTCAGCTTACGATCCCTTATTTTTTATAAGGGATTGATCTTCCTAGGTGATCTCCCATCCAAGGCCCGACTCTGCTTAGCTTCAGAGAACAGACGGGATCGGGTTTGTTCAGGGTGGCATGGCCATTGACTGTACTTTTGAAAAAAAGGTCCACACTATGCTGTACACCTGAAACTGACATGAAATTGTATTGACTGTGAACTGTAATTGAAAAATCAAAACAAGGGGGAGGAAAATATGAAGAGGAATGAGGTTCAAACTTCCAGATATAAACAAATAAGTCATGATGGACAGCATAGCAGATATAGCCAATAATATTGTGATATACTAAAAAAATAATAATATTGTGATAGCGTACGGTGTCAGATGGGTACTGGGCTTATCGCAGTGACCAATTCTTTAGGTATATAAATGTCGAATAACTATGGTGTACACCTGAAACTAACACAATATTGTATTGAGCTATATTTTAATGAAAATCTTTAAAAGTAAATAAAGAAAAAGAGGCCCACGAAATCTCAATCTGTCCCCCCATCCCCACTGTCTGGGGGGCTTAATCAGTGTGTTCATTCATCCCTACACTTAAGACTGGGCTTACAATTTTGGAATCGTATTGCTACATTGTCTATGAGAGAAGGGGACTGGACAAGAAGTTTTCTGAGCTTCTTTCTTGTCCCTGTGTTGTTCCCCAGAGGTAAGTCGTTCACCTTTTGCACTAAAGTTTCATCCAGTCACCTCCTGGGGCATTGCTGGAGGGCACAGCAGGACAGCCCTGGGCTTAGCTGCCCAGGGCGAGACACACCACACCCATCCCTGACAGTGTCGACCCAAAGTGGGCAGGGATAGGACGGGGGCGGGAGTCCAGGGAGGCTTTCTTGGAGGAGGTGATAACGCTGAGCTGAGACCTAAAGGAAAGTGGAGGATGTAGATAGTAAAATGACAAATAATTACAATATCCCAATGCAAAGCCTGTTCTCCCTTCCAGTTAATGTATAAAGTAATAACAACGCAAGACGTTGATCGCTTACTAAGTGTGGGGCAGGGGCCAGGTGCTTTACATTGGTGATTTCACTGAGTCTTCCCCCAAATCCGGCGGGACCAACGGGGACGAGGAATAGAGGGTACTATTATAATGCCTAGTTCATGAAAGAGGAAGAAACTGAGGCTTAAAGAGATATGTCACTTGGCCAGGATCATTTAGCGGCTGAGAATGTTCTGTCCTCTCTGGGACCCCTAACGCCCTCCCCAAGCCGGGATCTCTCAACACGTGTCCAGGCCTGGAGCTGAGAAAGCTACATAGCTTAGAAAAAGCATGGACTTCTTAGAACCCTTGAAGCCGAGTCGAGAGATGCTGAAGAACGCGCATGCGCGCCACAGTAGGGGTCCGAGGGCTTGACAGAATCTAGTTCGGAGGTGTGGTGACTGTGAGGACCCCTAAATAGTACCCTGGACAAGGTGAAGGAACTTGTCGGGGGAAAGGGTTGCGTTAGGAACGCGTCAGAGGGCGACCGCACCGGCCGGAAGCCGTGCTCGCCGAAGCGGGGTACGGTGGCCGGGAGGGTTCCGTCGCGACACGAGAGGGGCGTGGCCCAGGCGGGATGTTTTGGAGCGTTACGGTGGCCAGGAAAGCTCAAGAATCATGGAACAGGAAGGACTCGAGGAACCGGCGGGGCGAAGCGGGCAGGACGGCCTAGAAGGTTCATACAACTAGAAGAGGAGGATCTATTAGAGGGGGCAGGAGGAAGCGAGCCCGTGGGAAGCGCACGTGTTGGCCCGGAAATTCCTGTGTCCACTAGGTGACAACGAACGCACTACTAGCAGGGGGCAGTACGGTGGCCGGGCTGGTAGGAAGCCGGAAGCGGCTCTCCCGTGAGGCGTGGCTGAGGCGCTCTTGCCCGGTACGGTGGCCGGTGTGTAGGGCAGAGGGCAAAATCTCGCGCGATCGTGCTAGCGCCGGCGGGGACGGGGCGGTGCTGGCGGCGGGGGCGGGGACCCGGAGCGGGAAGATGGCGGCGGCGCAGGAGGCGGACGGGGCCGGCAGCGCCGTGGTGGCGGCCGGGGGAGGCGGCTCCGGTCAGGTACGGAGGCCGAGAGGGGCCCGAGGGGTTCTTCCCCACCCGGCGGCCTCCCACGGGGCGTGTCCTGCCCCTTCGCGCGGAATCCCGTGCATTGGGGGCTCCTTGCCCAAAGGGACCTTGAATACCGGGCCCAGGCGGGGCCGGGCGGCCCAGGAGGCCGGACAGTGCGGGAAGCGGGACCCCGTTGCGCGTCGGGTTCCCTGCACGCTCGCGCCGGGCGGGCACCAGGCTCACTGCTCGAGCCGGAGGCTGTGGCGCGGAGGGGACGCAGACTAGTACCCAGGCGCCCTGGGTTCTCGACTCGGCGATTCCAGGCTCCGAGACCGTTCCTAGAGTGGTCTGTCGTTCAGGTCTCTCTCGCAGTGCCTGACGTTTGGGCAGTAATTGGTTAATTGGGAGTTTTGTAGCTCTGGGGAAGTCAGGTAATCGTCGTGGGGAAGGGCACAGGCTGACAGACCCGTTTTATAGATGGGAATCCAAGCAACAGAGAGACTAAGGCGCTTAGAGAAGAGCCCCCAGTTCGGGTTTGGGGTCTGTTCCGTGTAGCAGTTACCAGACATTGCTGACCCAGGGTGATCAGGACTGGGATGGGTGTGCTTTTATCGTAAACTAATCCTGTGGCGGAAGCAGTCCAGGTGCTGCTGCCTTCTGACCCATTGCCACCTCAGTTAAACTGAGGGTGCAGTACATACTAGCTAGTTCAGGCAGCCACCTTTCAGGCATTTAGGGAATTGGATGGAGTGACAGTGAGGTGCTGTCGACCCACCCACTGAGATGTCACTGACATGTGGGAGGCAGTACAGGGGAGAGCAGCACAAGCTGGGAGGGG